CCCCCCCCCCCCCCCCCCCCCACCACACCCCCCCCCCCCCCCCCCCCCCCCCCCCCCCCCCCCCCCCCCCGGGCGCCGGGCGCGCCCCCCCCGAGGCCTTAATCGCCAGCTAAATGGTTGGCGCGTTCGCTTTATGTATATTTTCTTGCTGGCCGTTCGCTTTAAGTGCATTACACATAAAGCAAACGCAAAGTATATTTTTTAAATCTTGATAAAAAACTGAAATCAATACCAATTGAGCTGAACCGCTAGAATATGATAGATTTGAAGATGACCAATCGAATGATATTAATTGAAACGTTTTTCATTGAAACTTGTAACCAAAAATGGTTACAGGGTAGCAGACCCATAGAGTAGAGTAGGGTCAGGGCGAGAGGACCGTAGGGTAGGGTAGGGTTAGGGTACGGAAAAGTTTTTGTAGGGTACGGTTAGGGTGTTATTTATTTTCACTGCGTAATTTTTTAAATCAATAAAAAGAAAGTTGACGTCCATCGTCATCGTCCAGATCCAAAAAGAATGTCATGCGAATATCCGTAGAACTTTCTTCTACGGATATATAAAGGCATTAGTTTTGTGATACAAGAAGTTGTACCAAGTTGTATGAAACTGGCGACGTAAGAGAACTTTTAGTCTAAATAAAATTGTTAGAATACAAAGGAAAGGAGAATCAGTGAACAACCACCTCGACAATTGGCAACGAGGATTGAAAAGAAAAAGAAAACAAATCTTTTGACGAAGATAAAGAAGAGCGAAAAAAGAAGATCAAAGAAAATTGACGAAGGAATATCGACGACGATTAACGAAGATCAATGGAAAATTTAAAAGTTACGATGGCAGACATAGCAGCACAAAGTGCGCTTGGCATCGAACCGTTTAAAATTTATGTTGATAGTCCAAATGTTGGTGCAGAATGGAGTGACAGGATTGCAAGATTTGAGAGTTAGGAGCCATTAATATCACGAAAGACGAACGTAAATCTGCAATGCTGTTACATCATGCTGGTAAGAAAGTTTATAGAAACTATAAAGGTGTGGCCACAGATACAGACAGGTACATCGATATTAAGACAAAACTTCAACATGAATTCCTACCAAAAGTAAACGAAGGATTCGAAGCATACAAATTTTTGTTTAATAAAACAAGGTAACAATGAAACACTCGATTCATTTGTTTCCCGATTAAGAAATTCAGTGTTAACATGTGGGTTTGCAGACAACGACAAAGAAATACGTCAACAGATACTATTGGGCTGTAAATCTAGCATATTGAGAAAGAAAGCGTTATGTGAAAAAATGGATTTAGATAGACTCATCGAACTGGTCGTGCATTTGAATTAGCTGATAAGCAAGTAGCATATATAGAAGATTCAACAAGCCAAAACGAAGAAATTAACAGAATTGATAATAGTAAAAATAAAACAACAAAATCATCCTCTGCAATGGTAAATTGTAGTTATTGCCGCACACCAGCACCTGAAATTTTTCATTTTATTGTTGAACATGACGTTCTTCGAGGCTTACAAGGTGTTAGAAACACACAAGATGATATTTTAGTTTATGGTATAAATGATGATCACCATAACGAAAATTTAATGGAATTGATCAAACGTTTGGAAGAATTAGGTCTAACTGTGCATGATCCTGACTCGGTGTGTTAGTAGAAGATTCTGTGGAGGATAGAGATTAAACAGGCACTCAAAAGCATAGTGCATCAGTTACCGGTTCCGCTAAATTATATTATGCTGCAAGAGGCCATTATTAACCGCTTTTTAATCGGTATTCTAAACTTTCAATCTGAATTAATATAATTAGAATCTCGGATAAACAACAGAAAATCTCAAAACGATACCATAAGTACTAGTGAAACATTGTAGCTCCCGCCATCATTCACCAGTAATTCGTTTTCTGACGATGATGATGGCTATGATCATTCAATATACCTACTATATTGACTGTATTGACCTACAGTATTGTCAGCAGAGACCTTGACGACGTAATCCACTGTCATAAAAAACAGGCAAGGTTAAGACTGCAGGAATGAAGCAATCATCCTATTGAGATCCTAACGAACACTATTCTCAGACGAGCAGAAGTGAAAGAATGAAGTAGTCATCATATTGAAATTCCACAGAGCGCTAGTTAAGAGAGGCAGGAATGAAGGAATCATACTATTGAGAATATAAAGAACCCTACTTTAAGACGTATATGAACCAGGCCATAGCTTGAATGAGGAAAGTAGAAGTAAATCGTTAGATAGATTCTGAAAGTTGAAAATGCTATTCTGAAAAAAAAAGAAAAGTAATTGATCTCATTCCACTATAGTCAGAGAATACTATAATGTATACATTATACTTGATAGGAATCCCGTATCCATTCAACTGAAGAAGGAAGAATTATTCATCAGTATCATTTGATTGTAAATTCTACGCCAGTGCTAAGTTCCTAAGTTCTTTTTTAGTCAAAAACACATAATGTAGAAGAAAAAAAAAGTCGGGCAAAGATAAGCAACTCGCGATTAGACTCTAAAACTCTTCTATTCTAGCTGGTGCAAACGCAATACATTCGAAATGGTTCTACTTATGACTTTTGTTGATTGAAGACGATAGATTAATAGCTAATGCAACAAGAAAGAAACTACCTGGTTAGGGAATGATGAGATTTGGAGAATGTTAACCAAAACATTTAATTTAACTTGTTAGTAGTGCCGTCTGAAGAGAAATGATCAGCAGATCCAATAATGTACAAATGGTAGTCTCCTCCGTGCGCAAATTAAAGTTCTAAAAGTTCATTGAAGGTAGTGTAAAAAAATTTCTAGCTTGTAATAAGTTTTGGAAGGGAAGTGCGATAGTCCTTTCGCCCTGACGTAGATCCACCACTGGAAATGATAACAGCAATAACAACCAAAATATATACTGCATTGCAAGCTATAGTAGGAGCTGCCTTCATCATTTGTGTGATTCGCATTGAAAACTTAACACTATATTTATGGTTATTCATTAAATTTTTTGCCATTTTGAATCAGTTAGAAGAAAAGAAAAGAAGGTTACAAATAAAATAGATTACAAGAATAAACTATGTTTCTTATTGTCTCAAACGCCAAAAATAAAAATAAAAATGCTTTTGATGGTTGTTTTTACTTATTTTTCGTTAAATAAATCTTTAACTTTTCATCCGTACTATTTATTATTATGATTGTATTATCTATATTTATTATTGTGATTATATTATTATATGATTTATTATTATGATAACATAATATGATTTATTAAGGAATTAATCGGATTTTCGATGATTCAACCTTAATAAAACGGACTCTGGCTGAATCCAGTACTGGCAGTTATACTAATTCGAGCTGCAACTTACTAACATCGTTTACGTACACTTGCATTCGTTGCTCGAGAAAACTGAAGCTCAACAAATAAAAAGATATTACAGTATTGAAAATAGATTCTATTGAACCTGTGATCGCCCAAGAATCCACCTGTAACAATGAAACATGTCCACAGCATTATTATGATCCAAATAGCTGTCGAACTGCTTCAAAAAACTATATGATTAAATTTAGCTTGTACAAGAAAGAATATGTCTAGTTCGGCGGACAATTTACATATCATACTGAAGCGAAATTTCATTATTAAGATTGAGCAAATGTGTACTCTCACCTATCTCTTCGACTAATAATCTTTTTGTTAACGTCCGTGCAGAAAAAATATCACTTATCTTTGTATACTTGAGACATAATTTCGAATGAGGTCAATACATTCTTTTATTACCCGGTTTCGATGGGAATATTATTTATTAGTTTTGCAATTCAATTTCAGATAAATCCATCAGTTGGCATCACTTTTACTAGTTACCAGCCAGATCGACTTAAGTTTCGAAATACTCACTCATTTTTCAAAGAGAAGGATGAGAAATGAATATCTAACAGATCGTTCATAATTGTGACAATAGAATCATTCTCTGATGCTTGTTAATTCCAGGTTACGAATATAGAGACCGGCATAAAACGAGTTCCAACAAACGATTGTACAAAACTGCTATGGAAACTTTTGAAAAAGACCGTAGAGTTATTTTATGGACTCTGTTATTGTGTACTTAGCGTTACTAAAAGCTTATACTTAGTGTATACCATGCATTACATATTGGAATTTTTTCCTTACATTGTTCTTTTGCCGAGTGATGAGCGTTTTGTGAAATTAAGGTAGCTTCATTTTACTTTAATGGCAGCGGTATGTGGAGTAACCAGCTAAATTTTGCTAAATCTATTTTTGAGAAGGGACAGTGTTATACTGAAGCATGCTAAAATGTTAACAAAACTTTGAAACTAACATTAAAGCCGCATAATTATTTGTCACAGCATCTTACTTTAGAAAAAACATCATTTCAATATTCGAAACGCGAAAAAAATGATAGTATCGAGAAGAATAACTTTTGCCAGTTAAACCAGAAGCGCACAGATGAAGATTGACAAAAAAAAGAAATTTGAATTCTCTCGAATCATATTAGATGAAGATATGGATTTTTTACAGTAATCAGAAACAGTAGGCGATTTACTAAAATAACGGCAGTGGCTAAAAGTACAGGCACTTTTGTAACTCGGGATCTCGATTCGAAATATTAAAGAATTGGGGAAATATGATAGAAAATAATGAAAAATGTCCGTAACATCAAGTTTTGACGATATACAGTGTCCTTTATAGAACAAAAATTAGACATTTCAGCCATCGTTTCCTTACAAAATATTGTTAGCACCTTTTACTAGTAAGATACAGAAAAAATAGAATTAAAAAAATCTTTACCTTTGCTGATTTTGTAGCGTTCTTTTCATGTATGCTCATTTGGATCCAATCTTTTCCTTGAATAAGTTGTAACTAGACGGCTTGTCCAAATGTTACGGAATTACTTTTTTTCAACTTTTACGTGCCATAACTTTTCTGAGAATGATCCAAATGCAATGACGCTTTTACCAGAGGCAGACAGTACCAAGTTTTATCACGTCCGAAAATTTCGTTGAGTTTGGATCATCCCATAGGGAGTTATTAAAAAAAATAACGGCCGTAACGGAATTACCGAAAATGGACTTTTTTTTTCAGTGATGTCTAAGTTTTACATTTTTCTGCTCAATGAAAACTTCTTTTGAGATGTGTTCTGAAGCAAAGTTGTGTAGCTTGAAACCAGCTTTCAGAATATCAACTTGATTTTCGATTAGAATCGCTAGATGATATAAGAATTTGAAAAAACAGTCCGTTACGGAATTACAGCTTTTTTTGGTTCTTTCAAATCAGAAGGTTAAACTCCATTACAAAAGCCGTCATAGAAAAATATTTCCGATAGCAGTAGACAGTATCTGATCTGATCTTACCGATGCACTGTAGAAAAACGTTCTGAAATCGTTTTGAGTTGAAGAAAAACCCGTTTCAAAACTTGGTCTTTCGAAAAACCAACTTTCTTGGAAAGCACCTAAACTCAAAAATAAATACACTATCTTGTAGAGAATTTAATTCTCTACAAAATACCATATCTCTTAATTTTTTTCGCGAAAATATCTGGGTCAGGAAATTAAAAATAAAATTTGGATTTCATTTTTTGAGGTCAAAAGTTAATTTTATGGAAATTTTAAGTTGAGCTCAGCTTGAAAAACTACGTTAGACGATGCGCTTCACAAATTCTTAAAGTTAAAAAAAATTTTCGAACCATCTTAAGTGAAGATGACCGTGAAGGTGACCTAGCTGGACATCCTAGTGAAAAGCTTGCTCAAATCTTACTAAGATCTTAGAAAAATCTTGTTAAGATCTTAGTAAGATTTCGCTTACATTTGTCTGAGACCTTAAACAAATCTTACAAAGATCGTGAGACCCGAAAATTCTAAAATTTGATAAGATTTTTCTAAGATCTTACTAAGATTGTAAGTTTACTGCCTAAGACTTTTTCAAGATTGGATAAGAATATATTAGGATCTTGATAGCAAGAACGATAACGTTTTTTAAATAATGTTCATTCGAGATTCACTGAAAATTTTTCAAGTTTTAATCCGCATTATCCAAGTTGAAGAATGAAGAGAAATTTCATATTTTCAGGTGTCCAACTGAGGACCTTGACATGCATGTACACTCTCTAAAAAGTTGTTGAACACTTTCGAGAGAGCAAGTAGCAGCAGAGTCAGGAAGAAAAATACGCGTATAATCACTCATATTTTCGGTCACTTATATAGATGAATGAGAGCAAAACAAAAGGGTGAATGAAAGCAGAGTCATTAAATCTTATTAAGATCTTAAACGATAAGATCGTAGATTATCTCCATTCCAGCACATGTTGTACGCATTATATAACTCCACTCATACACACCAGGCTATAATAAAGATCGAAAAGCTTCGACACGTTCATCTCTTAAATTTTTATGTTCAGGCCACCCAATGGTTGAATAAGGTGGACATCCATAATAATAATCGGCTCCTTTTGATCTTGATACCGATGACTGTGTATCACCTGTCAATGTACCTTTTAATTGTGTATTTAATGGTTCACAACCAGCGGGTAAATAATCAACTAATGCTATATGATATCGTCGTTGTGTCGTCGTCATTGTTATCATGACTTTGACTTTTTCGCCTAGCTTCAGTTTCCATGTGTCATCTGATTGTTTTCGAACATGTGATGAATCATTCACAGCTGTGTATGTTTGTTCAATTTTAAAACCACAATTAACTGCACTTAACTGTAAACTTGATGAAGCATACTTCAATGCAACACGATAAAAAAATCGGCCATTCCCAACCTTTTGCATAATTGGATTTTTATTATCAACAGTTGTGTTGAATGATGATGTTAATGGCAACACTGCTCTCATTGGAATATTCACTGTGTACCAAAGTCAAATACGTTAAACTTCCCTTGTTATACATATTTATATTTCTAAAGTGTTCTGTTGCAATTTGAACAAGCAGAAAATACGGTGTTAAAGGAAACATCGAATTGTTACAACAACAACAATAACAAACATCGAAATGATAACAATGCATTTTGTTTTAGATTAAGCAAGGACGAAATCTGGATCATGGTTTATTTGACTCACCTCACCTCCCATACCCTCATTCTCATCCCTCACTCTCAAGATATTTGTTTTACCATCAAATATTTATAGACCAGCTTTTAAAAAAGCTATTAATCATTATAAAAATATCATTATAAGACGTTCAGAAATTAGTTGATCAACATGCATTGACTTTTGCTTTTGCTTTAAATGTTTTATCCTGAGGATGGGTGTGGCTAGAGTGCATAAAACCACACTTACTCACACCCACATCCACACACTGATGGCACACAGCACATGTGCAATATGAAGTTCTTTCCTCGTGATTGTATTTCATATGAAGACAATGTTCAACTTATTTTTATTCATTAGGAAAAAAGCAAGTTTTGCTTGAAGTATTGTCAGAATTTCCACTGAAAACAATAAAACATGCACATCTTTATAATGTCCGTGTCGGAGGATCATTTGTCGACTGAATCATGTTCGATAGATGTTGGCCAAACGATGTTTCCTTTAGGAAAATATGTCGATACTGCTTCGAAGGCAAAACATACAAAAAGAAAATACTCATGTGTGGTGCGAATGATATGTAATGTGTCACTAGAGCAACATGTGAAAACCAGTGATTAGTATCATAGTCACAAGCATTCAGAAACAGAATTATTATTTCAGGTAACTGTGTCAAAAAGCAAGCGATAGGACCCAGCAAAAGATCGATTCGTTTTCGTGTTTGATCCATTAGAGTACCACGTGTCGTTTTTTTATGAGCATGAATCTTTGATCGAGTGATTGCAATGATGATTATCGATGCTGCTACTAGATTGAGCACAAAGGGAACCAGTTGATGAATTAGTGAGAGAATTTGTGTGAGTAATTGTTGGCTCGGTGGAATTTCACGAATACACCATGGAAATGAATAATCGGGATGATTGACTAATTTGTATTGATCAATATATATGTAATTCGAACTTAAAACAAGCAACGATATGAGAGAGATCAGCACTGTGGTTATCGTTGGCTTTTGCAACGAAGACCATCGTGAATATTGGATTGCAGCTAATGCCCTTTCCACTGTGACGATTGCCATCAACCACAAACTGACATAATAGAAAGTATACATTAGAAATGGTAGACTTCTGCAGACGCCCATGTTTATTTTATGTTTCATCATGATTCGGTGTATCACGTATAGATAGGTAACCCTTGAAAACAACAACATCAATACTACCAGACTGCAGACAGAAATTGACAGAAGATGAAGACCTATTCCAGTTTGATGAAGTTTCCGTTGTACGAATGTTATGATGGATAGACCATTAAAGATCATACCCATGAGTAAAAAGAGACTCGGTCCAATGAAATTTCTACGAAACCAGTTGGTTTTCTCAATTAAAAACTCCAATGAGATTGAGAAACGACTTGGTGAAAATTGACATAAAACAC